AAAAAAAAAAAAAAAAAAAAAAAAAACCAAATAAGCTTTCTAACAGAAATAAATTGCTAAATTACCCTCATGCTGTTCGTTCCCAGATGACTGCGCAAGTTCGTCTGTATTCGTCACTTCATGTGTTTCCGGATTAACAATTTTCAATACCTTTTTTTGCCTAGGAGGTGCCACAGCTATTGAGGCTGCAGGAATCGTTTGCTGATATACCATCCTCTGTTGCATGAAAGCTGTTGGTGGTTGAGTAGGCTGGTAGAAAACACTAGGGGTCTGGCAAAATGGAGGGGCTACAACACTGAAATTAAGCAAATGAAAGCTAAAAGAATTTACTGGATAATAAACTACCCCAATTTTTCAATTCCTTCTAGTTTAACCACTCTTAAAGACTTCCGTTCATCAGTCTGTCGAAACTTTATGTACTTGTGAGGAAGGTCCCTCACCTATATCAATGCCAATACAAAAAAATTACGAAAAATTAACGTACGAATAAAACTGAGTAGCATTAGACATAGGAAAGACATTTGTATTATATCCACTGGCATTATAAACTGCTGAATGATTATACGTTGGCGGCGTCGCAAATGCGCTTACCTAAACATCAAAAAAAAAAAATTAAAATGAGAAAAAAAAGGTTCAATTTTTTAAATACAACTGTTAGAGCAACACAATCAAGAAAAGTGCAAGTAATCAGAAAGTAGAGAAAACCAGACGAAATGATTTATTCAGTCCTGTCGACAAGATATGCAAAAAAAGAGGGGAAAATTGGTATCTACAAAACGGACATATAATAAGCATTCAAGCCTAAATCCACATAAGAACAATAGCTCCACCAGGAAAAGATGAAGTGGATAACTTTAAGTTACTCTATTTACTCTACAAACAAAAATTTACCTGGGAAACTGTAGGATACGATGTGGACGTCTGAGCCTGCGAATAACGTGACTGAATAGTGTAACTGCCCGGCACTGGCTGATCAATATTGACTTCTCCCGGGGCAAATTGCATTGTAGGGTTCCTGAAAACAGCAGAGCTTCTTCCAAATACTCAACATAACCAGATAAAAATGTCACCTTCTTAGTTCCCTTTAAAGCAAAGACATGCCATAAAAGACCATGCAAATTTAACCTTT